TTCAGTCCACAATTTTTTTGCCAGACATTTTTCCAAGATGCCTCACGCCCAAACCATGACACGTAAAAGATTAGTTTTCAGGTCATTTTCAGGATCGATGTTGTAGGTATAAACGGGAAAAACTTCAATTTTGAGGTCCGATTAGTTCGATTTTGCGAGAATTTTGAACATGAAGTTGCCTATAAATATTTCTGTTTACAAGCTATCTGCAGGGAGTTTTTCCACAATGCCTCAGACACAAACCCCAGCAACTGTCGGGCTGACTTTTAGCTAATTTGAAACAGAAAATGTGGTTCCATCAGTGGTGAAAATATCAGCATCGCGGCAAAATCAGCTGAATTTTACCACCGATCCAAACAGAACAAAGATTTTTGTTTGGTTTCGACATTTATTGCATGCATCATTTTCAAGCTGGTTTGGGACAAAACTGGGACCTGAAAATTTTCTGTTTATTTTTTCCGAAACTCGATTGCCATCGCTGAAAATTTTACTTAAAAAAAAATAGGTTAAAATTTGATTTTTCGGGTTCCGCACTTTTTGCAGGACGTTTTTCCAATGTGCCTCTGATCGAAATTTGGGAAGCCCCAAAAACTGTTTTCAGCTCACTGGATAGGGAGAATTTGGTTGTTGAAGTAGGGAAAATCTGATTTTCGCAGTGCATTTAGTCCAGCGTTGCCAGCATTTCAAACAAGCAGTAGAGTGTGGATTTTTCGCTCGGGAAGCTGCTTGCAAGAGATTTTTCCGAAGTGCCTCACACTAAAAGTACCGAAGCTATACCGTTGATTTTTAGCTCATTGTCCAGAGGAAGGTTGTATGCATGAAAGGTGAAAATCTCAGCTTGGTGGCAGGTTGTGCTGAACTTCACCAGAGCATCAAAGTTGAGTTGAAATGCGAAAATTCTAAATTCAAAAATTTCGAGGCCATGCTTTCCAAAGGGCCTCCAGACCAAACGGCGCTGGCAAAATTCATGCTTCTAACCTCATTTTGAAAAGAAGACTTGGGCGGATGACGTGTAAAACTTTCACTCTAGGGGCATGAAGGGCTGAAGCTGGGCAATTTTTTAAACAACTGGTTAAAACCGTGCTTTTTAGGGCGGGAAGTTTTTGCAGGCGAATGTTCCAAAAGGCCTCCACTCCGAACCTCGCCAGCTATTAATTCGGTTTTTGCCTCATCGTGAAGGACCAGCTCGGCTTTCTCCAGTGTGGAAAACTCGCTTTAGTTTCTCCAGGGAGTGAGCGAGGAGGATTTTTCCAAACCGAGATTGAAGACCATGGGAGCACACGTGGGATTATTGCGGCCAATTTTCCGAAAAGGTGCCAACGTGGCAACTGCGCTTGGCCACTGCAATCAAAATAGAGTACTCTGCTGCGCAGGTGCTGAAAGTTTCGAATCGGTGCCATCATCAGGGTTTTGGCGAGGATTTTTCAAAGGTTCCCTCCAGTTTGGGTGGTGTTTGCACGCAACTTTTCCGAACTGCCTCCCCGGGAAACCACCCGAGCTAGACAGGTGCTTGTAGCCTCATTTTTCAGCCAAAAGTCCTGGGCATGAAGGGCGAAAATTTCATTCGAGTGCCCCGTTGGGGTGGAGCAGGGCAATTTTCCAAACCGCCCGGATGCAAAAGCGTTTTTCTGAGCTGGCGGCTTCGGGGGCCCAGTTTTCCGATGGGCCTCCACCCCCAACCAGTGCCGCCACCGAAAAGGTTCTGGGCTCGATTGACAGAGAAAACTTGCGGTTTAGTGGGCGGAAAATGGCAACGTCGGCCATCCCCAACCGGATTCTGCAGGAATTTTCAAACAGCGACGTAAAACTCGGTTATTCACTTCAGTCCAGGTGAGCTTCGGACGCAAATATTTTCCCCATCCAACTGCGCACAACAACAACCTGTTTGCATAAACAACTGGACGTAAACAACGCTGTTTGGCTGTTTGGGCTGTTTACCAGTCGTGCGATCGATGCTGAAGAGGAATGTTTCGTAATCGGCCCACACCCGGAAGCATTGCGCCTCATAAAACGGTTATGAATTATTGAAAAGTGTGGACGGAAGAAGAAGGATCGATGAACTACCAATGTCATTTCCTTGGTACCACGTGGTTGAGGCGTACCAGCAACAAACAACAACCGTTTTTTGCGCAGAACCATTTCAAATGGTTTCTTAGTCAATCGGTGTCGTGCCCAATCTGTTTGTCGCCTTTGCGCTTTTCATCATTGAAAACAAACATGATTATCGGCATGCAGCCGCTCGAAAACATCATCGTCAGATCGACGGCAAATCCGCATTTTATTTTGTATTTTTTTTCTTCGTGATCGGATGTTGCGCAACTTTGGCTCGAGCTGTTTACCCGATGGCGACTTGTTTGCGTTCCGCCCGCCACATTCCTTGGCTGTCGCCAAGTCGAGGAAAACTGGGCGGCCCGGCAACAGCGCCCAATACGCCAACTCAAAGGCAGTGGCCTGCGCTGCAAACGGCAAAAGTTTCGAAACGACGCCATCATCAGGGGCTTGGCTAGGGGCTTTTGAGTCCACGCGCGTGCAAGTTTCAGCGGTTTGTGGTGACCGTTTTTCCAAATTGCCTCCCCACCAGACTTGGTCAACTAGACACTTTGGGGGGGGTTTAGCTGAAAGCCCCAACTTGCCTTTTCCAGTGTGG